CACACACACACACACACACACACACACACACACACACACACACACACTACATATAAACAGCACACTGCTATGTGGCCATTCCTTGGATTGTTTCCCACAGCATGGTTCATTGCAAGACATGGTATTGAAAAGGGAGAGGAGAGAAGTGGGGTTGGGAGCTGGCTAGCTTCAGATCTTAGAGAATGCAGCTCATTCCCTGATAAAGGTATTGGTCTCTGTGCTGTTCCTGGGTCTTTTGGTTAATGTTTCAGACAAAGTGATCTTTATAAACACTGATCGTTCTCACAATCTCTCTCCCTTTCCATCTATCTTATTTCCCTTTTTCTTAACTTACCTGTATCTATTGTCTTCTTTTTCTGTAGTTTGCCTTTATGTCTGTGATCCCTGCACTGTCTCACACCATACCACACCAGGTTAATGCCCAGACAACTGCTTGAAAGGAACAAATCTCAAGGGGGAATTCTGTAATAATCAAGATGTCGACAGATAGGCAGGACTCTCAGCAGAATGGTTGGTGTTCTTAACAGTCAGGCTCCTTCTAACAAGTGCCGACCATTTTTCCTGGGTAGAGGAAAACAGGCAAAACAGGTCACCTCAGTCTTCCCCTCCTTCAGGTTGGCCTGGGTACTACTAGCCGGTCTCCTGGTGGCTGGCACTGTACTGCTGGGTACCCTCGGGCCGAGATCCCGCATGGATAAGAAAATATGAAGCAAATCCCTTGGGTTTTAAATAGCGCATTCAGGGAGAGATGAACATTTAGCTCCTGGACATCATGAAGGATTGGTTTTAGCTGAGTGAGAAGGCTGGATGGTTGAGGAACAACCAAGAGGGCCAATGTCAAAACATTCCCCTTCAGACCCCCCTCCCCCCACCCATTCTCTCTTTAGGAGATTGTTATGCTCTGAGAAAGTTCACAGTATACATTATGCCCTTCAATAGATCTTGTTAGGAGAAAAAAAAAACAAAAAAACAAAAAAAACCCAGTATTTATTTTATGTAACATCTGTTACTCACAAGGGTGTTCTTGCTTTTGGGGCAGAGAACTGTTCTGAGCCCTGGACTGTACTTGTGGAAGATTCAAAGGCGTTCCATGTGTTCATTTTGCAACAGAAAGTTGAAACTTAGAAATCTACCCCTTAGACAGGCAACCTTGGTCCTTGGTGTGTCCCATGGTCCCTGCAGAAAGGATGAGAGAATCCTGAATAGGAAGACCTAAACTGTTACCATGTTAACTAGTTCTTTGCTGGTTTAGGGCATGTTTGGTGGGTCAGTGTGCTCATTTTTTTTCCAGGGGGATACATTGGTCTTATGGCACAATTGTTTCCTGTGCAATAAAGATTGAAACTGATATTCCATGCTTCAGAGTTGGTTAGCACTTCATAGGTCTTTATTCCACAGCTGGACCAGGATGTAGCCAAGTTTTAGCAGTTGGAGGAAACATACTCATTTGATGGTTTAGCAGTAGTGTGGCTGGCTTCTCTCAGTCAGTTATCACTATCAGAACAAGTATCGTATAAAGACACTGATAACAGCTGACCAGTAAATGAGAGATTTGGTTATGGAGCATAGACAAACTGAATGGACAAAAGCACAGACATCATTTTGTGATCTGTTAGGGAAAAGATTAACAGATCTCATTTTGCAGCTCACAAATATTTACTGCAGAGGCCAGGTTATACAAAATTTTATTTCTGTTTCATTTTCTTAGCAAGTAAGAACATACATCCAAAAGGCATTGCGTCCTATAAAGAATTTTGTTAATCGACTTTGCTGGAAAAGTTAAAATTTATGGTTCAGAGAGAGAGAGAGAGAAGTCTTTGGGGATGGGGATTTCAATTCCAGCTCCTTTGGGTCTGAAGAAAACTCCCTCTCAACACTCCAACACTCCTGCCATCACAGACACATACACACGTTAATTGCAACAGTATACCATCTTCTATGTGTATCCTTAGAAGTGGCAGTAACTAAACAAACTGAAAATGTATAATGTAAATAACCAATCAGTTATTTTCCTTGCAATTAAAATATAAATAGTATCTTTTTGGGCACCCAGAGAGATCTTTAATTGTTAGTTCGCTTTGGTCAGTCAAAGCAAAGTGGAAGGATTTTTTTTAAAACATATGAACTGTTTATTTTATTCTTGATCATGTGGGACCAATGGCCAGTATATCCCAGTAGAGACAAATCTCCCAGCCCTTATTTGCCACCAGCTGTCCGCCATGCCATGTCCTTCTTGCAGGGATGCCTACCTTGCATCTGCCTGTTATTCTGCATGACTGGACCTCCAAAAGCCCATTACTAATGAAGAGAATTGTCCTATGTCAGTGTTTATGAGATGTGTCTACAGCACACACATACACATGTTCACATGTACCCATATAGTTCTATATCAACATGGAAGTCAAAATCATATATGTCCAATCTCGTTGCGAAGTCTCAGAGGTGAGAAGGATTGTCACTAGCCTGATAGATTTGATGTGCTCGTAATGGTGTCTAACACGGATCAAAATCATTCAATCCATTTCTGTGTTCTTCCTCACATTCTTTTCCATTTTTTCCTCTTACTTTAAATATGTCTGTGGAAAAGAGCATGAATTGGAGAACTTTGAATTCTTTAGACTCTTCACAGGTGGAACCAAGTCAACGTATTGTAATTTGTATGTCTTATGAATCATTAAAGCTGAAGGAAATATACTTCCCTTCTTGTAAAACCAAATGAGACCCAGATTCTGTCAGACTCTCCTGTGGACAATGCCTGTTGTTTGTGCTGCTTTGGTTTCATGAGCTCTGAAGGGGCTTCCATGAGTTTGTTCTGATCTCAGTGAAGGAAACTTGCATGGTCAATTGTACCAAAGGGGTAGATAAGAAGGAAAGGACAGCTTCCTTCTCATCTGAAACACACAGGTCTCAGTGGAGAAGGGCATGTTTGTGCTTGAGATTCATTCCTTCCAGAAAGGCCGTCATTTCCATCTGCAGATCCTAGCTTTACGGTTACAATTCAATAATAACCAATAAGATAACAATGGACAAAATTCATTGGTAAGTATATCAGAACTACATTTTTTTCAGATTGATTGACAGAATTCCTAATATTAATTTTGCCTGAGAGATTTATTTTGTCTACATCATTATTTCAGACTTCTTGTCAAATTTTAGGATTTGAGTTACACTTGGTGGAGTTCACTGAGTATGCCAGGGTTCACCTGACAGTGTCTGAACACTGCTGGGGAGTGACCCGCATATTTCTGTGAACAATACATTTTTTTTATTCAGTTAATAAAATTTTTGAAACATAGACATTCCTACTATTTGCAATTATTATACTTTTTCTTCCATTTAGGAAAATAGAAACAAAAGGCTATTTCTTACATTTGCAATGACTCTTATCCTATTTTTAAATTATTTTGATTTCTGCTTTTTCTTTCATTTGAGTGAGAGATATGGGGAGGTCTCTTGCTAGGTAGTTCAGGTGGTTCGAGTACTCTCAATTCTCCTGCCTCAGTCTCTTGAGTGCTGGGAATCCAACTAAGCCTGGCAGACTATTTGACTTCAATCACAACTCTTTTCTTTTCTTTTGATCAAGCATACATATCTAAAAATACCTATAAGACTAGGAAGTGCAAACTCATTCTTCATGGTGATTGCCCAAGGAGGGCAAATCTGTAGTTGTTGGTACATTCTACACAGCATAAAA